CATTGTGTGGTGTTTACGCAGAAGGGGTTTGTCACATAAAATGAACAAAATGTATGTACGCGTGTCTTTTCCTCGAGCTGATGAGCAAAATTAATTCGCCGTTGTTTTTCAGCAAACTTCCCGAAACATTTTACGTACCTCCAGCGGTACGCTAACCACGTTTAGAACCCAAGTATACAGAGAACTGTCTTGCAAATTGTTTATAAAATACGTTCATAAATGAATCTTTCATTTCATGCACTCAAGCCTCGCACATTATTCGGTCTGGCATGTTAATGAAATCCTAACATTGATTTTTCCACAGTTGCGTCATCACAAGCTGTGTACTCAAATCTTATGCAATAGATCATTGAATACTTTACTGTGCAGTACATATCAATGACCGTGATATTTAATTTAAATTGGGCAAGTAATTTAATTGACAGTGCATTGACCTCAGGCCTGTTTGGGATCGTCCTTGTACCCACAAGAAAGAGACTGAACATACCTAAATAACGGTTCTCACAACTTTCTTTCTTAGTCAGGCTGTATCGTACAGCTGTTCATTAGACTGCGTACTGCCAACAGACAAATCGGGCTCATAACATACGCTAGCACCGACAACAGATTTGTTACTGTTTTTCTTGTAGCAGTTCACTGTTACAGAAAATTTAGTTTGTGAAATATTTATAGTTTATATATTTTGAATGGTGTAGAATTTGTTAAATATTAATAATGGCAGAAATGGCGTTTGCATAATACTACGCGTTGATGCTTCTATTGGCAGCTCTGAAGTGGCGCGCTTCGTAGCCGATCGATTTAGCCAATGGCGGGAGTTGTTTTCTTAAACGTCACATCCTGGTGATTGTCGACTGCTTCTGTGCTGTCTGCTAGGAAGCAGTGTCCGACATTAGTGATGTTTTGTCTGAACGTTTTTAATATAGACGCAGTAGTGATCGGTGTTTATGCGTGTAATATACGATTAGAAGTGACGTAAGACTTAGTTTTCTCCATCTTATGTATTAAAAAAGCAATTATCGATTTGTAGTTGAAGGTGTGCAGATATAAAGAAGCGATCCGGAATAAATGTTTGGTAGAGTGATGTGATAAACGTATCTGTGCGTCGGCTGTGTCCATAAGTAAGTTAGCATAAATCATGCATCCTATTTAAAATCGCCATGATCTATTGAGTGAAGTACGTGCATGGTGTCTTTTTCAACAGATTGTTTTTTATGTCAGTGACTGCCACTCCTGCGACACCTAGCGGTTCTAGTGCGGACTAATTTACCAGTGTAGCCGTGATGATGTGAGGAAGCGCAAGTTGGGGCGAGAA